GTCCTGTGACTGAGAGGATCGCTACGGAATTGCGAGGAGTGAGAGGGGATAATAGATTCCCCAGCCGATCCGCGCGGGTTATATTGTTTTAGCGTATCGATTAATCGTCTCGCGCTGTGCTCCCACGTGATTAGTAAATCCGTAACGCGCGAACGCCTTGCACGAGCACGACGCTTCTCGCCTCGTATTTTTCCTTTCGTGCCGCGAGCGCGCGCTCGCTCGCTCGCTTTGTCGCTCATCAACCGGCTGAATATCCGATCTCGTTAAGTTTATGCGGATGCGATCCGCTCGTAACAAAAATAACAATGTCGCAGCAAATTCGGCAGCGCGGCAAGCGGTGACAGGTCGCGGTTTGCGCGCGACTTCATTTCTCTCGCTTCTCTCCTCCTCCTCCTCCTCCTCCTCCTCCTCCTCCTTCTCGCGCAACGTCGAGTTTGATGCAAATCGCGAGCGCATTTTCCGGCGTCACATCATATTCGCGGACGCTACATCGAGACTACTTTCGCGCCGCCGCGCGGCAACCTGGACCTTCTGTCCCGACGGCGACGACGGCGGCGAGAACGGGGGGGGAGAATTCAAAGGCAGCTCTCGCCACAAAAGACGTTGTCGCGAGGGGGGGGGAGCGTCGCGTAGGGTTAAATGGCGTAACGAGTCCGATCGTATGGCGCAAGACGCCATGGTAGATGTTCGCAGGTCGCCTAGCCGCATAGCCAGGGATTCGAATTTAATCCGGATTAGTTCGTAAGGGTCACAATACTCTCCCCTCTGACTGCGCCCCGTCCCTGTCGGCCCCGCGCCGTGCACACGGATGCGCGCATATAGACGTCCAGGTAAATCCGGACGGAACACACGCGGACGATTATCCTAATTCCGAGCTGACGCTTACGGCTCGCGGGCTAAAAGGGGACAAACGCTCTCATCTTTCCAGCTCATCTTTCATACACGCCGACGTGAAATCATTTTTTCACATAAGGCAATCCGAAATCGCTCTCGGCGGCGTATCTCCGCGCGTATTCTCTTTCCTTTTCCCGATGATATATTTTTCTGCCCGTTTTTCTTTCTCTCATCAATGAAGAGCCCAAATTAGCGACGAGGCGCGTAGCTGTGATTAATACGTAAATATTACGCAGCGAGAGAGGAAGGCATCGTGATAATTTTTTACTGTCTCTTGTATGTGCGCGCGTGCTGATGTCTTCATCGTTCCTCCCCCCCCCCCCTCCCCCCTCCAGGAATCTTGTCGCGCGCGTTAGCATGTGTGAGTTGGAAATAAATAGATTGCGCTTTTGGAAAATTCGACGGATTAAAAAGAAAAACTTCTATACTCGCCGAGGAAGGTGGAGATAAGAGCCAGGAGCGGCAGAAAAAGAATCCGCGAGCTCCGGGAGGAAGGATTAACTGTGACGCATGGAGATTTAAGGAGGATCCTCGAAATCCGTAGATTTAGGAAGTGCGTGCTTCTGTCCACCCGCATCCCCCATCGCGCCTTCCGCCCGCCCTTGTTTCCCCTCACCTCATAGGTTGGGGAAGAGCCGGAAGAGCAAATATGTGCTCTTGCCGCCTGCACATTCCTGCGTTCTCCCGGATTGTCGCCCGGATCGTCGATCTCTGCAGGAGAACCCACCATTCTTAAGAGAATTCTCAACTCGATTTCTCGTCAAGCCCCGGCCAAGTCAATCGATCCGAGGAGCGGGGACGGGGGCGGGGAAGTGCATTGCGCCTCGACGATTCAACGTGATATATACGGCACAGCCTCTCTCTCTCTCTCTCTCTCTCTCTCTCTCTCTCTCTCTCTCTCTCTCTCTCTCTCTCTCCCTTTCCCGGTTCCATAACAACGACGCGGGAAAAACAAGCGGCGGCAGACTGAAGGGAGAGAAACGCACGCGGATTTAATGGCAAATTTTGCGACAACGTAAATGACAGATTAGGCGCGCGCGTAACCGCGAATTCAATTTTAGTCGTCCCTTCGGCTTTATATACACGTACGGGGCCAGCTTCCCTCTCCGCTTTGTAGCAACTTCGTCCATTTTGCGGGGAAAGCGGGATATGTGGGGAGGGGTGAAAGTATTACCCGCTGTCCGCGGTACAATATAATTATAACTGGTCTGTGCTTAAAAGAAACGTAACCAAACGAAACTATAACAGTATTCTCGCGACGTCTGATCGACTATGAATTTACGATAAAACCTATAATAGAAAAAAAAGTATTTTCTCGAGAGAGAATGAAACACTGCCATATATTATATTATAAGGTGTATATAAGAAAAAGAAAAGTATTTTCGAGAAAATAAAAAATTTCCTTATGTTTTGCTATCGACAATAATCAAGTTGCGCAAATGCTTCTTTCAGCACCTAATGTAGAAAAATATATATCTGGCGCGTTAGATGCTTAATTTTTGACGATAAATTTCGGCTCTTTGACACCTGCTGTCCTAGAGGCTTCACCTCTGTCGCTGGAAGAAAATAAATTGAAAATTTATAATTTTGCCGAATGCGAAAGAGGGAGCTTGCGTACGCGCGTCACGCCTGCGTGTTTATACAGCGTTTAATTCTCGCTGCAAACGGACGCGTGCAAATTGTTTCCACCGCATTATCGAGGATCAAGGAAATACCGCCGATAGTCTATCTCGTTTACGAGCTTTAACGACCCCTCTCGCGCAACTTCCATCGGGTATGTACGTCTTCGTCATTCTTAGCGGAAGCGGACTTCGTGGCGCGACATAACGACTGAGTTTTTGAATTGTCTCGAATGAGAGAGACGACAGCGTTTCCAAGGCAGGGCTCTCTGCAATCCTGTGTTCATCCCTGAACAACGATCTTCTTACAACGGTCATTTTTTTTACTACGGTCGATTTGTCATTACGTTGTAATTATGTTGCAAAAATAATAAACTTCGAGTTCACATTTCCTTTCTGCTTTCGCCATTTCATCCACTGCCGTTTATTTATTTGTCGTTCAATTAGATATCTAACAATGACATTAATGAAATACATTTCTTTTTCTTTTTTTTCTTTCTTCTTTTTCCTTTCTCTCCGCTTTTTTTCCGGTGCTAAGGAAAGAAGCATTTGCGCGATCTTACCTTTCCGAAATTATCAGTTATATTTGATTTGTTGACAAAAGCTATAAAAATGTTATCAGTACTACGGTGATTTGTCATTACGTTGTAATTATGTTGCAAAAATAATAAACTTCGTCGAGTTCACATTTCCTTTCTGCTTTCGCCATTTCATCCACTGCCGTTTATTTATTTGTCGTTCAATTAGATATCTAACAATTGCATTAATGAAATACATTTCTTTTTCTTTTTTTCTATCTTCTTTTTCCTTTCTCTCCGCTTTTTTTCCGGTGCTAAGGAAAGAAACATTTGCGCGACCTTACCTTTCCGAAATTATCAGTTATATTTGATTTGTTGACAAAAGCTATAAAAATGTTATCAGTACTACGGTGATTTGTCATTACGTTGTAATTATGTTGCAAAAATAATAAACTTCGTCGAGTTCACATTTCCTTTCTGCTTTTGCCATTTCATCCACTGCCGTTTATTTATTTGTCGTTCAATTAGATATCTAACAATGACATCAATGAAATACATTTCTTTTTCTTTTTTTTCTTTCTTCTTTTTCCTTTCTCTCCGCTTTTTTTCCGGTGCTAAGGAAAGAAGCATTTGCGCGATCTTACCTTTCCGAAATTATCAGTTATATTTGATTTGTTGACAAAAGCTATAAAAATGTTATCAGTACTACGGTGATTTGTCATTACGTTGTAATTATGTTGCAAAAATAATAAACTTCGTCGAGTTCACATTTCCTTTCTGCTTTCGCCATTTCATCCACTGCCGTTTATTTATTTATCGTTAAATTAGATATCTAATTTCTTTTCTCTTCTTCCTTTTTTTCCGCTTTTCTTCCGGTGCTAAGGAGAAGAGCGTTTGCGCAATCTCACCTTTCTGAAATTATCAGTTATATTTGATTTGTTGACAAAAACAAAAAGAATGTTGTCATCACGCTGCAGTATGCGACAAACACGCAGTGTTGCTCGAGACCGAGAGAAGCGAGGCGTGCGTAGTGTGCATTTTAAATATCCTCTACTCTCTCACTTGCCCTTTTATTCGTATTATACACAAAAGCCACGCCGCCGGCCTTCGTCGGTTGCGAGACGCGACGGCGATTAACGCCGCTTCCGTTCGGCGGAGTGCATTAATGGACGTGACATCGGCGCATCGTTACCGCATTTTCCTTGCCAGCGTCACCGGTAATCCCGACCGAGTTCGCGCTGTAAAGACGCCAAAGCTGTTTTCACACGGCCCTGTCTCTCTCGTAAAAGGTAACTTAATTCGCCCGGCGAATCGAAGATTTACGGCCACGGGGACCCTGCCCAAGCCGTCAAACCCGGGATGCAACCCGAGGTAATGGGGTGTGCATACGTGCGCACTCGTAGGAACGGGCAAGACGGCGAGGAAATGAAAAGAGAGAAAAAAAGAAAAAGAAAACATGGGGTGAACGTTTGATTGTGTACGCGACGAGATCCGTACAAGATCCGTTAAGCTCGGCGATTGAGCGTCGTTTTTGTGTATCACTTACGCGGCATCTTTTTCTCTCTTACATTACGGCGCGCAAAAATTTCACACATTCGTCGAACGACGCGCTAATGAGATAATCATTGAAATTTATACGATCGCTGGAGTTAGCCTGTCTTTCTCCCCCCCCCCCGCCCCCTTTCGCCACCGCTTCCGTGTCGAAGCAGCACATTCATAAATCTCCCATTGCAAATTGAATGTGACGCGACGCTGCGTTTCTTATTTCGCACGCAGCGCCGCCGCGGAGAAATATTAATAATTCAAGAGAGAAGAATAGCAATAGATATATCGCAATGTTATACAACCGCGCGACACATAGCGATTGTGCGCACGCCGATCAGTTTATCAATTCGTTGGATTTACGGTATCGATGCGAGTTCGATAAAAGCGAAGGCGCACGAGAGAGGAAGAATGGAGAAGAACTTACCGGTGCTGGAGGCGGTTTTGCTGAGATCAAAGCCCTCCTGCTTGGGGCTGGCGTTGATTTCTTGCTTCGGGTGCTGATTGTGCGCAGAGAACGGTGTCTGAGGCGCGCTCAGAGGTGTCTGCGACTGCAACGGGTGCACCAGCGTGGGCTGAGGTGTGCTCTGCGGCTGAGACTGCTGGGACTGATGAGACTGAGGACTCCTCGGTAACGAGGACACGCTGCTGGGTCTGGATGGTGGCGAGGCCTTGTGTGTCAACGCCAAAGCTTGGCTCTGCAATCCCGGGAACATATTATTGGCCAATAAGCACGTCTCACGTGTACGCTTCATCTTCGACGATAGGCGCGATTGCGACGAAACATTTAACTTCGGGACCATAAGCGAGAGAGAGAGAGAGAGAGAGAGAGAGAGAGAAAGAGAGAGCGTATCGATGAAGCAACGTGTGAAAAAGTCGCAAGAATTCGGTAGACTTTGCATTCCGCGAGACGGGACATTTGCCGTGGTGCACAAAGAAGAGATTAACCCTTTAACACCTACTGGTAACTATAGTTACCAGAGACGTATTTAAGAATCCATAACTTAGTGAAAAACGGAGATATTTTCGTTTTCTTTGCACCTGCGCTGTAAATGTGAATTCTTCTTCTAAAAAATGCTGTATAGATTGTATGTAGATTCGGTTTAGTCTGTCTTTAGCTCAGTTTTAATGGTAACATGTTTTGTCAAATTCCAAGTAGGCATAGTTAGCATTGTTACTGACTCTCTAGAAGTGCACTATAAATGAATAGATTGGTGTCTGTTATAATTTTATACATTTGGAAGCTTTCTCAGATGCAAAATGTGAAATTAAAAGAATACAGAAATTCAAAATGGCGGATCCGATATGGTGAACACGGAAATCGAGAAATCAAGCTATTTTCGTGAAACCTGGTGACCTACAGCACTTTTTATGCGGCGGTAAAATGAAGGGACGAATATCTTATAGATCACCATCTAAATGGTGATCTATAAGATATTCTTCTGAAATAGTAAGCTCGACGTTCTGGATGATGACGCTCGTCATTCACAAATATAGTAAAGTTTCAGCTGAAAAATGTCAAGCTGACTATCAGAATTATGTCGTATAGATTACCTTTCATTCTTCTCTGTATAGGTTGCTCATTTCGTATATGCTTCTAGGATCCAAGTCATATTTACCGATAAACACATAAAACGAACGATAAAAAAACCAACATAAAATTCTGTTCTATTTTTGTTTTGGTTATCGCTACTTGTAGCCTTAGTTCCAAAAAACTCAAATTTTATTCTGAAAACACTTATAAAAAAATCGGGCGTTAAAGGGTCAATAAGGGGGGACGCGGTTTTAGAGTAGCGTGATTAGTACATTTTTACGTCTGCTGTTTAAATTCACCGGCGGCTTCTGTTTCGTCCCCGGCAAGTTGCCGCGGGCGGAAATATTTTCCTTGCGCGAGAGCGCGTTATGCAAATTATTTTGATGCTTATTTCATCGCTCGTTTGTGAATAATCCCTCGGGAGAGTGCGGTAATCGCCGCGGAGTAATATAAATCCTTCGCTGTCCTTAATCTCTTAATCATTGAAGACAAAATTCCCCGGCGCGTGTAGCGCGCGCTCCTGACATGCGCGCGGGATTTTTTCATTTCACACCGCGGCGCCCGCCGCCGTGAAATTTCCGCAAAGAGGCCGCTCTCGAAACTCTCGCGAGCCTCGCGAGTTTCTCGCACACTCGCGGATATTGCGATCATTAATATCTAAAATTATTGCGTCTGACATATCGTCGTGAGCCAGTGTTATTAGGTGCCCTACTTGTCTCTCTGTTGTCTCAACTGTCGCACGTTTAAAGTGTCGAAGATCAGCCGCGCTAACGCGATTGACAATCGTCATCGAGAATGCCTCGCACCGCCGAGCCTTAACATTAACCCGTGCCCTCGCGGCTTTCCCGCGATTTTCTTTACGCGCTTTACGCGCGCGCGCGCGCGCGAACCGTAAAATCGAGCTTCGCTCGAGCGTTGCAGCGCCGAGGCGACGCGACGTGTCGTGAGAACAACGACGGGCGCGATTCTGACATCATGATATTTCCGATCGAAATGTGACTCTATTAAAAAATTCAATTGGCGAATCGGCTATGCGCGATCCGAGGCGGCGGCTGTCCGTGCGATTAAAAAAGCCTTCGGCGGCAATTCAGCCGTGTGGGAGCGTCGCCTAAACGCGGTCGAATCTGCGACGTTTCGGTCGCAGCCCGAACGAGCCGGATGATCTAAGCGTCGTCGCCGATGAAATCTGAGCACGTGCTCAATTCCGAGCGGCGAGCCAGCTAAGGCATAAGCGCGGACTTAGATTTATGTATGAGTGAACTGAACTTAACACTAACGGCTAAGCCGTCCACGGTGTTAACTGGGGTCAACTGGGCCCAGAATGCGACAATCCTACACCACCGCCGCCGCCGCCGCCGCCGTTGAGATGTGCGAAATGCACCGCGTCTCTCGCGCGCGGTTTTCGTCGTCTGGAAACTGGATCGTCGATGACGCCTTTGTGGAATACGACCGACGACGTGGAGCGCGCAAGCGGCAGAACAACGAGTCGAGATGCGAGCAGACGTTTAACCCTCCGTGATCCTCCGCGACTTCCTGCCGCGCTCGTGCTCTCGCTCTCGCAATCAGCGATTTTTTCGCGGCTACTTAACCTCGTTATTTAATTACAGGATTATAGAATTTAATCGGGCACTAACACAAACGCACACACACACACACACACACACATCGACCAACCGTGACGCGACCTTGAATAATTGACGACCGTTTGCGTTACATTAATTTTCGAGGACTAGCTGACAGTTCCGCGACGCTCGTTCTCGCTCGCTCGTGTTCGCATCGCGAGTTTTGCGCTCGCGTTAATTAACCCCTTTAAGACGATTGAATTTTAGTCCCTCGGTCTCTCTCTCTCTCTCTCTCTCTCACTTTTGCAACATCCGCAACACTTTATTTTCGATATCCCCGGCAGGGGATATTGAAACAAGTGCACGATCGCGTGGAGCTTGAACTGAACTTGGGCGGCTCGACGCGCTTTCTCTCTCTCTCTCTCTCTCTCTCTCTCTCTCTCTCTCTCTTTTTCTCAACCTGCGACCTTCGAAAAGCCATTTCTACGCGTCACCTTGCGCCGATCTAACTGCCGATCGACTGCGAAGAATCGACCGATGATTTTTTCACTTGCCCGGACTGTACCGGGGTACCAGCTACTGTTTCGGGAGCTGCTTCGAGGTATGCACTCGCAAAAAACACGTCAGACCGCTGAAGACCCGGGCCTGGAGCGGGAGTGAGTGAGAGGAAGAGGAAGAGGAAGAAGAAGAAGAAGAAGAAGAAGAAGAAGAAGAAGAAGAAGAAGAAGATGAAGAAGAAGAAGAAGAGGAAGGCGGAGGGCTGAGAGGGGAGCGGGATGCCTGAAGGTGCCGAAGAGAGCGGCAGGGAGGAGGGAGGGAGGGAGGGAGGGAGGGAGGGAGAGGGAGGGAGAGAAAGGCCGGACCAGCCGGCCGGCCGGCCGGAGTCGTTGACGGAAGAGAGATGAGCGGAGCGAAGGGCCCCGGAGGGCCCACGTGGGCCGGAGGAGGACCGACGACGAGTCCGCGGCTCGTTTCCACGCGAGCAAGGAAGACGAACGCGAGGAGCCGAAAGCTGCAGCGTATAAGAAGGGGCAACAGGTGGATGGGGTTAGCGGCTTATCCGGCTAACGCCCCAAGTGATATCGCGGTAACTCCGTCGTGACGCGCGAGGGGTTACGACGGTGTTGTCGTAAAATCAGGAATTTCGATTCGCCCATCGATCCGACCGCCGCCGCCGCGGCCTCGAAAATTCGCCGCGATTTACGTACGAAAGTGCGTACGCCGCCCTCCGAGAGCCACGTTGACGCTCGGGAGCGCCGTGTCTCCCGACAGACCTCGCTTCGCCGAACGATAAGAACGAGGTCTTATCGTCCGAGAGCGGCTCGCGCTCTCTCAGATCTCTCAGGAAAACGCGGTCGTAATTAATTTACGACCGCGTGTCCCAGCGCCCCTCGTGTGTAAGGGCGCATAAGAAGGCGCGAGAATATATCGGAGGGCGTGGACAAAGTTAAGATAAAAAGCTTATCCGGGCTTTAGTCGGCAATCGGAAATGCTCTCGTCGAGCGACCTGGCTTATCCGACCTGCTCTAAAGGAGATCGTTATTTCGTACAGATGCGTTATTATCGCAAACTGATGAAGTCTTTCGAGATTTGGAATATTCCCCGACGAGAGAATAGTTCAACGAGAACCGAGTGAAACGGATCACCTCTGCTAACGACCGAACGCGAGATAAGCTCGCGCTCGTCGTCGAAGGGTAGCGACGTAGCGGAGCGTTCAACGACGGGAGGATCATCAGGCGAGAGTCATCAGCGAAACGCGATACTCGCTCGGCTGATTTTTGCAAATGCGACAAAGGCTCTCACTACATCCGTCAGGCGCGCTGCCCACGCGGGCGGCGCGGCGGCGGTCTCGATGTCGCGGCTGCTTCCGATAGATTTCGAGCGAGAACCGGGCCCGGCCCGGTTTGAGCAAAATAGTCCGCGAATCCGCGCGGTTGCCCCCGGAATGCCGAATGCGGACAGTGTGACAAGGGTAAAAATGGAACGGCGGTAAATAATTAACGGCGCAACGGCCCGCCTGCGATATCGCCGCGCGACCGAGCGGCGACAGTTCGGCAGCGTTTATCGACGGATCAGCTTATCTACCGGGTGTAACGGAGATACGCAGCTACGGTACGGTGTTTCCTGCTAGTGTGTTTCCCGTTAAGGCGATAACCTTAATCGCTGACCGAGCGCGAGATCCTCGGCGCGCGGCGGCGGCGGAGCCGGAGCCCCGCCGGGCTTTCAGAAATTCAGCGCGCGCGATCGGGATCGCCGCGGCAACGAGCTTACGTAAGGCCGAATCGCGATGACAGCCTTTAACGTTCGGCCAATTGAACGGGCGCTTCTTTTCGGCGTATATATCTTACGTCAGCGGCCGCCGCTGTCGCGCAGCTAATTCGAAGAGAAAAAGAATGAATTAACAAGAAAGAATCCGCGACACACTCTGCTCGATCCCTTCGCGTCGTCCCATCCTCCCTCCCTCCCTCCCTCCTTTCCTTTCCTCTCCCTCTTCGCGGCCTCTTCGTCGCGCCCTGACGCGTTCGGTGCGCGTAAATTACCGTGCGCGCGTTCGCCTCGCTCGTCTTTATTAATTCCTCGAACCTCAGCCGCGTTTTAACCC